TGCATATTCTTTCCCGTGCTCGCGTGGAATTTTTTTTTTATCCAGGTCCTCCGATTGTTCCCCTCCGCATTTAAAATCAATGTGCGTGTCGAGTATTTGGCTGCTATAAATGTCCACCTGATAGGCCACTTCGTTGAGCTGTCATGTGTGGCCGGGTCGCTTCTGAAAAAGAGTTACGTAGCTCAGTGGGCCTTACCTGGTTAAATAAATAAACAAAAATAGTTTAGTGTTTTAATAGTCGCGTCTGGGAGTGTACGTTATAGGCGACGTTGCTTGTGAAATCACTGACACGTGGCGAATGGGATGCGTGCAAAATACTTTTACTTGGAGGGACAGATACGGGAAGGAGGTGAATTATTGTTTATTTTTGTATTTCGTTGTTTACCTTCTCCACAACGACGTTCGTGGTTAGTCTGCGCAAAGTTAATGGGAGGGGAGAATGGGGACAGTGTCAGCGACGTGAACTTTCTCAGAATCAGAACCTTTATTTACACTGGAGGAATCCGATGTGCTATTGAGCTCTTTTTCACATGCGCCCAGTACCGGAGTCTAATTTCTATATAATTAAAATATGTGATTGCATTACAGGTGTCACCTTGTAACCTGTATACAAATAGTACACCTCAAAGCAACGCATCACTTGTACCTGAAGAACATTACTCCAGTCTAGTTCCGTGACTTGAATGTCATTACACACATTCATGTCACTGGCCCCGGTGGGTGGAGCAGGAGGGGAGGGGGGTAAAAGAGGGTGGTGAGAAGGGGCATGGTTTGAGGAGGTGAGGGTGAGCCATCATAATCTTCATATCTGAAATATATCATCACGCAACCTTCCCGTCAAGAATGCACTGATGGTGACGACAATGATTTTAGACCTGCATGAGGCTGCTGGCTGGGGTTCCTGATAAGGCGCTGTGGTGGTGGGGGGCACTGGGAGGTGGTGGGGGGCACTGGGAGTTGGTGAGGGGAACTGGGAGGTGGTGGGGGGCACTGGCAGGTGGTGGGGGGCACTGGGAGTTGGGGGGGGCTGCTCTGCAGCAGCAGATCGCAACACAGACACCGGCACAAAAGGCTTTTGTTTTGTACGCGATGACAAGAAAAGCCCATCAACAGTTCCCGAAGAACTATATCGTGTTCCCTCTTGTCTCTCGGGGTCACCACCGAATGGATTTGAGCAAATGTGAGCGACCGACTGGTAGCAGCAGTTAGAAAGGCAACTGAAGGTCTGCCTCGCCTTGTTTAGGGCGTATCAGTCCGGTATAGTTTCCTGCTCACTGCCGCAAAGTCTGCCTGGTACAATGCATGGTCCAGACGTGAGCAACAGAGCTCAGACAGAAAGCTCTGAAAGGCGGCGGGAGTTTCTGAAATGCGGACGAACCGGTCTATGGAAAACTCCGCCTCTGCAGCAGAGCTCCGCGGTGGGGCTCCACAGTACGACTCGATAGCAGAGCTCCACGGTGGAGCTCCACAGTACGACTCGATATCAGAGCGCCACGGTGGAGCTCCACGGTGGAACTTCACAGTACGACTGGAAAGTAGAGCTGGACGGTGGAGCTCAACAGTAGGACTTGATAGCAGAGCCCCACAGGGGAGCTCCACGGTGGAGCTCCACAGCACGCCTCGATAGCGGAGCTCCACAGCAGAGCTCCACAACACAGCTCCATAGCTCGCCCGGTCTCTGCCTGTGAAGTCCCTTTCGCTCACCGCGAACGCAGAACAACCTCGCCCGCGGTGATCGAGCGGGTCTCCAGAGTTGACCCCTTGGCCTCTGACCTCAACGCTCAACCACAAGCCCCAAGTTCGACCACGGGTCGCCACGCTTGGCGTCTCCCCATTGAAGCCGCACAGCATCTCCGCTTCTCGCGCGTTGTCTACAACGAGTGGAGAGGGCTGCTCTGGGGGGGGGGGGGGCATCGTGCACGCCCTGTCGGAAGTCAATTGTATATATGATGAAAGTGCACCATGTTGTGAGCGCATCATTGATAAATGACAGTGAAAACAAGTGAGAAAACACCATCCCCTCGTAAAATAAATCACTGACGTGACACGTCCCCCCTCCCTGTTCTCTGTGAGCAGTGGGAATAGTACGAGCAGTGGGAATAGTCAAGCAGTGGGAATAGTCAAGCAGTGGGAATGATCCAGCAGTGGGAATAGCCAAGCAGTGGGAATGATCCAGCAGTGGGAATAGTCAAGCAGTGGGAATGGTCAAGCAGTGGAAATAGTCAAGCAGTGGAAATAGTCAAGCAGTGGGAATGATCCAGCAGTGGGAATAGTCAAGCAGTGGAAATAGTCAAGCAGTGGGAATAGTCAAGCAGTGGAAATAGTCAAGCAGTGAGAATAGTCAAGCAGTGGAAATAGTCAAGCAGTGGGAATAGTCAAGCAGTGGAAATAGCCAAGCAGTGAGAATAGTCAAGCAGTGAGAATAGTCAAGCAGTGGGAATAGTCAAGCAGTGGAAATAGCCAAGCAGTGAGAATAGTCAAGCAGTGGGAATAGTCAAGCAGTGGGAATAGTCAAGCAGTGGGAATAGCCAAGCAGTGAGAATAGTCAAGCAGTGAGAATAGTCAAGCAGTGGGAATAGTCAAGCAGTGGGAATAGTCAAGCAGTGGGAATAGTCAAGCAGTGGGAATAGTCAAGCAGTGGGAATAGTCAAGCAGTGAGAATAGTCAAGCAGTGGTAATCCCTCACCGACACCTCACATCCCTCCCCCAGCACAGTCGGTGTAGGCGAGACTGTAGGCGAGTCAAGGCTACGAGCAGTGGCGGTATGAATTTGTCATTCTTAACGTTCCTATCCTGTGCTGACCTCATTCTACCCCCCCCCCCACACCCTCCCCCCCGTACGAGCCGCGACCTCTCGACCTCGTCCCAGGGCAGTGTATTGATGTGTTGGTGACGGACGGAGAGGTCACAGCGGTAGTAACGAGAGGCATGGGAGATATCCGAGGCGGGCACGTGGAGCATACGACAACAGATTGTGGATGGCCGTGGGTGTGTCCACGTCTTCTCGGCGGTTGGTTTAACTGGTCACAAACACCGCACAAACACAAAGATCCCCTGTTGTAGTCTTGGCAGACTGTCGGAGCAAGTGTCGTGAGCGAACAGCTCATGAAAGCGGGCAACGGGACACGAGGTGTTGGTGTGGCGAACATCACGCTCGGCCTCCGCAGTGCCGATAATTACGCACCACACTTGGTACTAATCTAAGGCTGAGTCAACCTACGGGATGCCCACGACCGTTTCAAATATTCCCCACTGTTTTAATGATCGTGAACGGGAATCGAACTCGGATCGGCTGGTTCGTAGGGCAGTGCGCTGGCCACTACAACTGCCCCACGCACAAACGCACGGACTACCACCCCCCCCCCCCCCCACATTCACACCACCACACTCAGACCACAAAAATGACACCACCACACTCACTACACCACACTCACACCACCACACTCACACCACCACACACACCACCACACTCAACCACCATACTCAGATCACCACACTCACTACACCACACTCACACCACCACACTCACACCACCACACTACACCACACTCACTACACCACACTCACTACACCGCACTCACACCACCACCACACTCACACCACCACACTCACTACACCACACTCACACCACCACACTTACTACACCACACTCACTACACCGCACTCACACCACCACCACACTCACACCACCACACTCACACCACTACACTCACACCACCACACTCACACCACCACCACCACACTCACACCACCACACTCACACCACGACACTCACACCACCACACTCACACCACCACACTCACACCACCACACTCACACCACCACACTCACACCACCACCACACTCACTACACCACCACACTCACTACACCACCACACTCACACCACCACCAACTGGCCAGCAGCAATGGTAGATGTGAGCGCTAGCTCGGTGTCAGGTGTCAGGTGTGGGTTCCTGCAGGTGAATGGCCGCCAGGTGAGAACCGAGGGAGCCTTGCTTTGAGTTGCGACAGAGTTCGGGTTACAGGTGAGCGGGCAGCCAGGTGTGCGCACTTGCAGGTGTGTGTGTGTGTGGTAGGTATTAAGGCAGGTGTATAGCTATACAGGTGTAGAGCCAGACAGGTGTGTTTCGTGTGTCGGTGCTCTCTAAGGTTAAGGTCTTTTGATGTGTAGGCAGGTGTGCAGACACACTGCGTAAGGACAGCCAGGTGTGCTGACACACAGCGGCGCAATCAGCCAGGTGTGCAGGCACACAGGTGCGCAACCAGCCAGGTGTGCAGGCACACAGGTGCGCAACCAACCAGTTGTACAGGCACACAGGTGCGCAACCAGCCAGGTGTGCAGGCACACAGGTGCGCAACCAGCCAGGTGTGCAGGCACACAGGTGCACAACCAGCCAGGTGTGCAGGCACACAGGTGCGCAACCAACCAGGTGTACATGCACACAGGTGCGCAACCAGCCAGGTGTGCAGGCACACAGGTGCGCAACCAACCAGGTGTACAGGCACACAGGTGCGCAACCAGCCAGGTGTGCAACCAGCCAGGTGTGCAGGCACACAGGTGCGCAATCAGCCAGGTGTGCAGGCACACAGGTGCGCAACCAACCAGGTGTACAGGCACACAGGTGCGCAACCAGCCAGGTGTGCAGGCACACAGGTGCGCAACCAGCCAGGTGTGCAGGCACACAGGTGCGCAACCAACCAGGTGTACAGGCACACAGGTGTGCAAACAGCCAGGTGTGCAGGCACCCAGGTGCGCAACCAACCAGGTGTGCAGGCACACAGGTGCACAACCAGCCAGGTGTGCAGCTGAACAGGTGCGCAACCAGCCAGGTGTGCAGGCACACAGGTGCGCAATCAGCCAGGTGATCAGCCAGATTTGCAGGCACGCGCATGCACAACCGACCAGGTGTGCAGCTCGGTGTGCAGGCACACAGGTGCGCAACCAGCCAGGGGTACCAACTAAACAGGTGTGACCCCAGGTGTGCCGGGGCGGCCGTACCTTGCTTGGAGAGGATCTTCCCGTCTATGATGCTGGGCTGCGCCTCCTCAGCCTGGGCTTCGGGCACGGCGCTCATGACGCCGGGGGTAAGAAGCGGGGATGCCGCACGCACGCTCGCTCAACACGCGTGTTTGTGTGCGTTCGACTGTGCTCCAGTGTGCGCCCTTTATACGAGCGAGGGGGGGGGGGGGAGTTCCCGAAACCGCGGGGGTGGGGGGGGGTGGAGCAAACCGACCTCAGCGTCAGAGCCAAACTATGCGCGGGGCGAGGAGGTAATGCGGGGTGTGGGTGCAGGGAGTGCTGGGAGGAGACGCCCGGATTAGTAGAACACCCCACACCGCCCCCAACTTTCTCGCCTCCGATGACACCCCCCCCCCCCCCCCGTCAAGGGGAGCACTATCACGGAAGGGGCGCGGTGTGGTCATAGAACGAGCATAGAAGGAGTCTCAGTTTGGAAGGGGTTGGGGGGGGGGGGGTCATGGAATTTGGGTCCATAAAACTACAATCCCTGCACAGATGACAGTGGCAGCGTTTGTTTAACGTCCACAGAGACCAGAGGAGCCGCTGAGAGGCGCGCGCACTTCCACTCCTGGCCGCTGGTCTCCACCGAGTGGGAGAGCTGGCCCCGTGGGGTCGTGGGGTGGCGAAGAGTGGGGCGGTTGAGATGGAAGGAAGACGCGAATGGAGTAGCGAGGGGAGTGATGTGTGGCTGAGCGTTGTGGCGGAGAAGGGGAGGGCGTGAGGTTAAGCGGTTGAACGAGTTGGTGGTGTTTGGAAGAGATGGCTCGCGACTGACGTGACTGGGAGGGTTGGTGGCGATGGACGGAGTGGTTGTCACTGTTGGCAGGAGAGGGTGAAGGGAGAGTGATGGGGGTTGAGACGAGGCGGGTAGGGAATGTTGCGGCGGGGAGGGGATGGTGTGAAGAGTGGGGGTAGCCGATAAGGAGGTGAGGAGTGTGGTGGCCGGAGGTGCAATGGGTGCTGCCGAGAGAGATGGCGTGAATGATGGAGATGGTATGAATGGTATTTGTGTGGCTGGAAGTGCTGACATAAATATTATGGCTGGGGAATAAAATGTGTGGGTGAGCGTGATGGTGTGGCAGGTACTGTGTGGTCTGGCTGCAAGATGTGGGTGGCGGTTGGAATTGGCGAGGCTGTCGGAGATGGTGTGGTTGGAATCGGTGTGGTTGAGACATGGTGTAAAGTAGTATTGGTGTGGTTGAGAGATGGTTTTAGTGGTATTGGTGTTGCCTGGATAGGGGTGGCCGAAATAAATGGTGCGGTTGAGTTTGGTGAGGTGTGGTGTGAGTGGTGATGGAGTGATTGAGAGGTGGTGTTAGTGGTACTGGTGTGGTGAGATGTGGTGTAGGTGGTGGTGTGGTTGGGATGGTGCGAGTGGTAATGGTGTGGTCGCGAGATGGTGTGAATGGTATTGGTGTGGCCAGGAGAGACCCCATACTTTCATAACATAATTAACGTATTACTCACTCCACTTATCACGATGCGTCCACCCCCCCCCCCCACACAATTACATTAGCTTATCGCCTAAACGTGTTTGGATAGTTTCCACATTTCATTGCGACGTAAATCGGCGAATTTTCGTTGCGAAATTAAATACAGCACAATCCTACGAATTACGGCCACGAAACTTCCAAAACCCCGTGCAATCTTTGCTCGTGCCTTCGCTAATTATCTTAAGTGGCCGTCACTTCTCCGATTGCTGCACCCAAGGTCTAGTACTCCCTTGCCTTACACATGCGCTGTAGACTCTCACTCCACCACCCCCCATCTTTAAGATGAAGCTCGAGACCGTTTTTCTCTTCAGATCAACCTTTGCCAATACACCGCGAGATGAATTAATTGCATCTTTACAGCCTATAAATATGAAATATGGCCCGAAATGCACCCGATCTCCTCCATCGGCATCTCCGGAAGCTAAAGAAGGCTTCGAGGCTGGATAGTTGCTCGGATGGACGAGCAACACGCACGACCACGGGCGTTGGAGGCTGTAAAGGCGCGACGTTGTGTGTGTGTGGGGGGGCAGCAAGAGGGCGGTCGCGGCGAAATCAATGTGCACCGTACTTCCACGCTCCCACGTCCGTGCCGGGCTGCCATCACGGATGCGCACTGGCTGGGAGGCCCGAGGCTCCACATCCAACGTCTCCGATTGACAGGCTGGAGGACTTTGCCCACTCCCTCTCTCCTTTTTAGTCAAGGTACGCCCCGAACAAGCGATTCGATGTCTTCTTCTATCCCCTTTTAGCCTTTCTACAAATCCTTCGGATGCAGCTGTTACATTTCTATTGGTGGCGATGCTGCATTTGGCAGTGGTTGGTACAGGCGCAAATAACACAAAACATTCTAGATTTGAAGCTTTCGTGACTGCAAGGATTCATATTCTTTGGTTCTATTCGGTAAAGTCACGTAGGTAAAACAAATTAAAATAAATTGAAATAAAATGAAAGAAACAATTAAAACACGACGTTTCGGAGGCAAAGCAAGCTTCCGTCTTCAGGTGGGACCTTGGTGCAGCAATTTTGCTGTGACTGGTCCCACCTGAAGACAGAAGCTTGCTTTGCCTCCAAAACGTCGTTTAGTTTCTTTCATTTTATTTCAATTTATTTTAATTTGTTTTACCTACGTGACTTTACCGAATAGAACAAAAGAGTATGAACACAAAACATGTCAGGCGACGATGAATTTCATGGTAAACGGGCCCTTCTGCCTTTTAAGAGGGTGTCATTGACGAAATGTCTCGCAGTTGATGTATTACGATTAATGGCAGCACCTGAAATGAACCGACATTATTTAAATTAAAAACAATATAAACAATTTCCGTCGATAAACGTCGGACGGGTAGCGAGCTCCTGCCGCGTCATGCTACAACTATGAGTGGGCTGCAGGCGCTGGGCGCGGAGTCACCACCCACCTCGAAAACCACAGTTCAATAATTACTAAACACTTTAAATCAGCTAAAGATGTCCCCGTGTCTCTCCACGAGTCCCCGTGTCTCTCCACGAGTCCCCATGTCTCTCCACGAGTCCCTATGTCTCCACGAGTCCCCGTGTCTCTCCACGAGTCCCCGTGTCTCTCCACGAGTCCCCGTGTCTCCACCCTCGTGTCTCTCCAAGTCCCCGTGTCTCTCCAAGTCCCCGTGTCACCACCCCCGTGTCTCTCCAAGAGTCCCCATGTCTCCACCCCCCGTGTCTCTCCAATAATTCCGTGTCTCCACCCCCGTGTCTCTCCAAGTCCCCGTGTCTCCACCCCCCGTGTCTCCACCCCTGTCCCGGTGTCTCAGCCGTTAAGCTCGTGCTCGTCGCACTCCTTTGTCCCCAAGCCGGTAAAAGCAGATATGGGGGGGGGGGGGGCACCACCCCTCCGTACTCGCTTCATCACCATCACGACCACACCGGTCTCCACTAAACTCTACGAAATCCACCAATGGCGCGAGGTGTCGCCCTCCAGTCGTACGAGACTTGAAACTCTTTCACGACCACCAGGCAGACAGATTTGAGGACGCTTCATGACCGACATCCCTGAAATTCCAGATGCCTCTCCCATTCCAGGAAGTGCACAAGGGGACAGGGGGACAACCTCACTGATGGAAACTTTATTTTGTCTTCCCTTAACCAGGAAAAAGTTAAACAACACAGAAACGCATGAAGGTAACAACAATCAAACGTTTTGGGGCAAATTGCCAACTGCCAATGTGGAAAAATTCTCAACAAAAGGTGCACGCGTTTCCAAAAGTGCAGAACAAACCTCCCCCCCCCCAAAAAATAAAACACAAAAATCAAAATGCACATCCCGACCCTCGTATCGTCTGTGCCCGCCCCAGAGATCGTTGTTCCGGGTGCAACGGGGGGGGGGGGGGGGGGGGTCACGACAAACAGGCAACTGTCGTTGGGCATCAAGCATCCCTCTGCGATGTCGATGTCCTACCTTGCAAAAGGCAACCCAACAGTGACAAGGGGCATACCGTTCCATTATTTTTCAAACATTTTGGAAACCTACAGCAGGACATTATTTTGAATCGATTTGAGAGGCGGGAGGAGAGGAACGTGTGGGCTAAAGAATATTACGCAGGTTAACAACATCATCTAAGCTCGAAAGGAGAAGTGGGATTGTTAAGTAATATGGGCCGGGATAGGAAACGCCACCTTAAGCACAGTGGTCAAAAAGTAATAATGGAGTAGCATCCCAAGAATGAAAAACATCCGTAAGGGCATCCCGCTTGGGAGATGGAGTGATTAAATAATTTAATGTGCAGTCGCCCAGGCAATTGTCACATTACGGGATGAGAGGAGGTGGTGGTGGTTCAGGGAGGCCTTCATCCGGCAATAGTGACCACTACCAATGATGACCACAAGACAACAAGTGCTCTGGCCTATGGGGGCGAGGTGAAGAGTGGTGCAGCTGGGATCACCAGGGTTAGCGGCGCAGGGTTGGTGACGAGGGCATCATGAGGACAGGTCAGCCAAGTGGCCACTTACACAGGATCGCGAGAGATGAGCGAGCGGGAAAACGCACAGCGCCGTGGGCTACGATGAAGCATCCTCTTGTGGCCAGTATCCTGCCGCTCAAGAAACACAAACAAAACCTTCCATGGGCTCGGTGCTTAAGTGTCCAGGCATTTGCTGGACGCTCACAAGTGGGTGGGTCGCGGGCGGTTGGGTCTGTGCAGACGGACCACCAAACACACACCCTGCTCAACGGCGCCATCCCCATGCCGTGTCCCTTAGTGTGCTAAGTGGCCATTTAGGCAACGTGCCCCGAGACCCTCATCACCAACCCCGATCCTGGCCACACCACGCCTCGACCACATTCCAGAGGACTGGCTGTGTCTTGTTGGTTTACCAAAATGTTTGAAGATTCACCAGGGAGATTGAGTATCTACGCACTGTTTTGCAATCGGTGTCCCAGAAACAAAACCATTTTTTTTAAAGCTATTATTTACGAACGCGAAGCCTCCTCCTCGTCATCACTGTCGGAGTGGACCACGATGGTCGGCGTGCCCATCGTCGCCACGACGACCGCCTCGGCCAGGGCCCACTTCCCACCGGCCTCCACAGCAGAGGCGTCTCCGTGGCAACGAGGTGGCGACACCTCTTCCGTTCCGCCGCCAACAGCTCCGCAAGCCAGGGGAGCAGTGAGCACAGACTGCAAGCCAAGAGATCCTGCGACAAGCGAGCAGGGGGGCGGGGGGGGGAAACAGGAGCAAAAGCTGAAGGGGACGCCAGCAAAGAGTTGCACGATTCTTTTGACAGCCGCGGCAGACTTCAGGGGGAAAAGCCGATATCAGAAGAATTTTGATGATTTTAGCCCTCGCGATGGAAGCGACGAATTGTTACTGTAGAGGAATCGGTTCTTTTGCTAGCAGTGGGTGAATGTGCGCCTCTAGTGGCTTCAGGGTTCATGCATGCCGATTATGCACAAGATATACGCGAATAAAATAAAATCTATTCATGCACGCACGAGTCGATACGGGTACCCGGAGCGCAGGGATTAATCAATTTCATTAAATAGTGAATCGACGCTACTCCTGTTTAGAACACCAACTGATCTTCTCTTTCGCTCCCTTTCCTTCCTCTTGCTTTTTTATTATTTCCTAGATTTTAACTAAGCCTCTTCCCTATTGCTGTGACGCTTAGTTTGTGCCGGTCACCTGGACGTTGCGTTCCCAGTGGTTCAGTGCTCTCTTGTACCGACTGTTGACAATACAAACACAATCGTAACAAGTGATGCTTGAATTACACTGCTAGCTTTCATGCACCAGGCCCTGCTCAAAGGGGAGGTGGCTGCAAAACACCAACCGGAGGAACGCTTCCGCCAGTGTTAAGGTATTACATAAAATTTGTAAAGCTATTTCCTTTAGTTTTTAAAATCTGCAAAACACCATTAGCAATCCATTCCGCTGCCATTCCATTTTAGAACGCGATTCATAACTGCTGCGTCCGGTAATATTTGCCATTTTCTCATTATGTTTTTACGACCGGCTTAATGCACGTAGAATGTTATCACTCAGTCTCTGCGAGCCGTGTCCTTTTTCAAAGCTGTCCGCGATCATGGCTTCCCTCCCATTTAGCGCCGTCCATGGCATTACCCAAGAATTTTGCATCAGATACTCCCACAGTTGCATCCAAATGTTCAAATTGCTTACGTAACATAATTAATAATACAGGTTTCTTGGGTTATGGATATTGGTCGTGAAAGCCTACGTGTAACATAATTCGCTGTCTTCTCTGTCTTCTGTACGTATACATGAGCGTGTATGAAAACAAAATCAGCGCACGGTACTTGAATCAACGACTAGCAGGACTGCAGCCTTGGCTCTGCATTCAGTCTTGCCTCTGCACATCGACCCTTCCCTACTGGAATAGACGAGAGCTCAATGGAACCGGATGGCGCCACCCTTTCGCTTTGTCACTTTTATGTTATTCTAATGGCGTGCATGCTTCCACAGGCCCGCGAGTCTCCATCTGTACTATAACCGCCTTAAAAGTCCATGAGCCCAGACCAGATATTTCCCGCTTGTCCATACCACCTGAAGTGGCATAACTTCAGTGGTTCCATTTTCCTGTGGCCGAATAACAGTGACAATTATAATCACCGTTTTGACCACTAGTAGGGTTATCAAATAATTATTTCGCCGTAGAAATAAATGGGCCGCTGCTGCCTTAGGTACTGCTCTCTGTCCCACGGACTGCTTCCTTCTCTATTCTTCTGCAAGGTATGGGGAAGTAGGGTCCCACTCACATACAGTGAGGGAAAAAAGCATTTGATCCCCTGCTGATTTTGTACGTTTGCCCACTGACAAAGAAATAATCAGTCTTTAATTTTAATGGTAGGTTTATTTAAACAGTGAGAGACAGAATAACAAAAAAATCCAGAAAAACGCATAAATTGATTTCCATTTTAATGAGGGAAATAAGTATTTGACCCCCTCTAAATCAGAAAGATTACAGGTAACGAGCTGAGATTAGGAGCACTCTTAAAGGGAGTGCTCCTAATCTCAGCTTGTTACCTTTATAAAAGACACCTGTCCACAGAAGCAATCAATCAATCAGATTCCAAACTCTCCACCATGGCCAAGACCAAAGAGCTCTCCAAGGATGTCAGGGACAAGATTGTAGACCTACACAAGGCTGGAATGGGCTACAAGACCATTGTCAAGCAGCTTGGTGAGAAGGTGACAACAGTTGGTGCGATTATTCGCAAATGGAAGAAACACAAAAGAACTGTCAATCTCCCTCGGCCTGGGGTTCCATGCAAGATCTCACCTCGTGGAGTTGCAATGATCATGAGAACGGTGAGGAATCAGCCCAGAACTACACGGGAGGATCTTGTCAATGATCTCAAGGCAGCTGGGACCATAGTCACCAAGAAAACAATTGGTAACACACTACGCCGTGAAGGACTGAAATCCTGCAGTGCCCGCAAGGTCCAACTGCTCAAGAAAGCACATATATTCTAGATTTAAAGCTTTCGTGACTGCAAGGATCCATACTCTTTGGTTCTATTCGGTAAAGTCACGTAGGTAAATAATAACACAATAATATTCTCACGACGTTTCGGCCACAACACAAGCGGCCTTCATCAGGTGAAGGGACGAGCCTGTCTGGAGGACAGCGCTGATCTAAGCGTGGCTTCTTCCACTCCAGCGCTGTCCTCCAGACAGGCTCGTCCCTTCACCTGATGAAGGCCGCTTGTGTTGTGGCCGAAACGTCGTGATTATTGTTGTTTTATTATTTACCTACGTGACTTTACCGAATAGAACCAAAGAGTAAAGCACATATACATGCCCGTCTGAAGTTTGCCAATGAACATCTGAATGATTCAGAGAACAACTGGATGAAAGTGTTGTGGTCAGATGAGACCAAAATGGAGCTCTTTGGCATCAACTCAACTCGCCGTGTTTGGACGAGAAGGAATGCTGCCTATGACCCCAAGAACACCATCCCCACCGTCAAACATGCAGGTGGAAATATTATGCTTTGGGGGTGGTTTTTCTGCTAAGGGGACAGGACAACTTCACCGCATCAAAGGGACGATGGACGACGGGGCCATGTACCGTCAAATCTTGGGTGAGAAACTCCTTCCCTCAGCCAGGGCATTGAAAATGGGTCGTGGATGGGTATTCCAGCATGACAATGACCCAAAACACACGGCCAAGGCAACAAAGGAGTGGCTCAAGAACAAGCACATTAAGGTCCTGGAGTGGCCTAGCCAGTCTCCAGACCTTAATCCCATAGAAAATCTGTGGAGGGAGCTGAGGGTTCGAGTTGCCAAACGTCAGCCTCTAAACCTTAATGACTAGGAGAAGATCTGCAAAGAGGAGTGGGACAAAATCCCTCCTGAGATGTGTGCAAACCTGGTGGCCAGCTACAAGAAACGTCTGACCTCTGTGATTGCTAACAAGGGTTTTGCCACCCGGTACTAAGTCATGTTTTGCAGAGGGGTCAAATACTCATTTCCCTCATTAAAATGCAAATCAATTTATAAAATTTTTGACATGCGTTTTTCTGTATTTTGTTGTTATTCTGTCTCTCACTGTTCAAATAAACCTACCATTAAAATTATAGACTGTTCATTTCTTTTTCAGTGGGCAAACGTACAAAATCAGCAGGGGATCAAATACTTTTTTCCCCTCACTGTACCTGTCAACCCCTTTTCAGTGCCTACCTTATTAGACCAATTCAGACCTTATTGGTCACCCGGTGCCCTTATAAATCTCAACCTTTATCCTACAAAGTCCCACCACAACGGAGAAACACAAATACACAAATTTTGTAAAAAAAATACGTATGAAATTGTTATAATTGGTGTCAATGATGCTACTTATCATGCTACTACTGTCCGTGATCTTGCATGCTGATGCTGCTTGCTATGTGGATGTAAATGTACAACAATAATTATTAAGGGTTAAACAATACACTATCAGTTTATTTTGCCATATGATGTTCTTGTATTGAAACGGCTGTACGCCATATGGACCTGAAAACTCGATTTCCCTGTACAAGAATATGGGTAAACCATATGGGTTGGCAGGTATGCACTCAACATGCAGCACATGGAACAGCGCAGTTTCAATTTTGCTACTTTCGGTGCATAAGTCAACTGCTGGAAGTGCCATTGTAATCCGTTAATAACACTATAACAATTTTTGTTCCTGGGTAGTGTTATTTTTTATTGCTTATGCCTAAAAAGTATAGAAAATTGCTATTCTTCCCCACAAACTTTGTTTTTGTGACCAGGACTTTGTGAACGAAAGACACATATGCACACCACGTTTTCTCATTGAAAATAGGTAAATTTCAAAATATCACTGTCCTGGTCACAAAAGCAAAGTTTGTGGAGAATAATAGCCATTTTCTGTACTTTTAAGGCATAAGCAATGAGGAATTAACACTTACTACCCAGGAACATTTTTTTGTTACAGTGTAATTACGCGCTGCTCAGAATCCCATCGTCTTCTCTGTGTCTATGCCTTCACTACGACGTTGCAACCAGTAACTATTGAGGCATTTTCTTTGGTTCTTTCGGTAAAGTCACGTAGAATGAGAATAAAATAATAAATTCTACGTGACTTTACCGAAATAACCAAAGAAAATGAATCATTGCAGTCACGAAAGCTTTAAATCGATATTGAGGCATTGTCTTTAAAACATGCAGTGCTTCAATTTAACAGGCAACCATGAGGCGTGAACTTGAAAATAACAAACCTAAAATATTGAGTGGCACCCCCGAGTATGAAGCCATTGCTTCCATATGCACACCTGGCAGGATGGTGCCCACCTCCTCCTCCCCTTCTTCATTGAACGCGACGCTCTCAGGGACAAGAGCGGCAATGATCTCATCCTCCTCTTTAGAAAAAAAACAAAGCGATCAATAGCAAAAACACACACGCAAGGACAGAGTCCACACGCCCAAAGATTTACAAGACCGGCGCGCGGTGTTTACAAGCTAACAAATGACAGCCCACGTACTACCGTTTACCCTCTAACCTCCAAACGTTGGCCCTCTGGGCTCGGGTAGAGAAACGCACGGCCATGAAGAAGCATCAGCAGCACCAGCGGTCAATAGATTTTTTGAGTCGGAGCGCGCAAGTAAAATGTGTAGTGACTACCAATACGGGCAACTACCTTGCTGATGCTGGCTGTGACCACCAGCGATGTTGTTGCGTCTGTGTGGTTTTCTTTACCAATGTGGGGAGTGGTAATGTAGCGGTTAACGCACTGCCCTACGTACGAGTTCAGTTCCTGCTAGTCTGGAAAAAGCGATGGGGTGACACAACCGCCACCATGCAGTGAAAGGCGGCTGTTTGTTGTTGTTGTTGTCACTGTGACTTTTAAAAAACACGAGGCGGTGACTGGGCGAGCCCAGACATTCCACGCCCTTTGAATCAATTCAAGATAATAATTTTCAGAAGAAAAAAAAAACTTATCGATTAACAAAGCTACTTGCCTCCACGCAAACTCGATCGAGCGCCACCTTCCTCCGAGACGCCGGCGGCGCCTTGCCCATCGGACACCTGCCAACAGAGAGAGCACAGTAGCTCAACGCACAACACAGCAACCCGGGGGTGCCCACTCTCCACCGCTGCTCCCCCCCCACCCCATGCCAACTCCCGACACACAGGCTACGAACGATGTCGTGCTTACTTTTGACAGAATGTAAAAGATAACGAAAAACAGTGGCTCCGACAAGGCAGCAGCAATGTCAAAAGGTGAGTGGCACACGCAGTCACACAACTGAGACTCCCTATGCCGCAGGTGGAGACAGCTCCGGAGCATGATCCAAGCGGGGGCGAAGGGGCGTGGTGGGGGAGGGGCGTGCGGGAGCAGTTGCCACCCATTGAGAACTAGGAAATTGGTATTTAGCCTTTTTTGAAAATCGAAATTGTTTTTTTTAGGATAGAAAAACTCACGAATGACAACTATATAAATGCACCAATTAGCTGATCAGGAAAAGAAGCCATGAATGCAACGGAGTGATTAATGCTGTGTTATCAATGTGGGAGGCTGGGTGCTATGTTATAAAGGGAAGACACGCCACAAACACAACAGTGACGAGCGCATGAACACCACGAACACCATGCTCGCAGCATCATCATCATCACGATCCATGGGTAGATAGCGCGGTGTCAACTGCACATTTCGTCCACTTTCCTCAAGTGGTGCACATCTTTCTGGCACCAATCTCTTATGTCGGCAAGCCATTTCATGATAGGTCTTCCTTTCTTCGTGACGAACTGGCATGTTCTGTTTACATGACAACCCTTACTAGTTGGCTGTGTCGGGTGGTTGCGGGTTTAACGACACATTTCTATATTTACGCGATCTAACCCAAAAAAACCTCTTATGAATGCCACTTTCCTTCTCATCACTGCCTGCATCATCAGGTCTTCTTTTATCTGCAACCTTTTTTCTCACTTCTACGTTGGTCATGCAGTATATTTCTGTAGCTATACATTTCGAATGCTAATGTCTTATCGCTGTCAGTCTTTTTTCAATATGCAATTCTCGCAGGCATACAAAGCAGTACTGAACAAGCATGTTCTCAACATGTTCAGTTTGGTCTTGTAGCTGATTTGCTTGCTTCTCCAGATGTTATTGAATCCTGCCATTACTCCTTTTGTCTTTGTGAGCCTCGCTCTTACGTCTTTCGTGCTTACAGCATCACACCCATATTACGAACCCCTAAAACATCGTCACACTCCCATCAACACGCTCACATCAACAACGCCGAGTGCGAAGGCAACCCTCACCTCCGCGGCGATTTCCACACCAGCGGCAGTGGCGGCCGCTGCAATCGCGGCGTGGAGGCTCGTCGCGCCGGCCGTTTCGCCATTCGCGACGTCTCCAGACGGATCCATGGAGAGATTCAGCTCGGCCATTTTCCCATGCCGCCCCTCTCTCCGCCCGGTTGGCGCGACCTCTTCGTCGAATCCGGCAGAGTCGAGGGGCGACAGGACGGAGGAGCCCACCTCGGCCGGGAAGTAGAGCTCATTGTCATCGCCAGAGTCGTCGGGAAAACCGTCCAGAAACTCGGAGCTCTCGTGCCACTGCTCCACATCAGAGTCTTCCAGCGCCAAAACACCGATATCCAGGTAGCTCTCCGTAAGGTAGTCGGACGACAACGAAGACATGGATGCCAACAAGTGCCTTTCGAAATATTCGTAGCTCTCTAGACCTTCGTAAAGGCAGTCTCCTTTCTCCATGACAGGCCAGGGCACCCCTTCACTCCTTCGCAAAACCTCATGCAACGCTTCGTGCTCGGCTTGGGATTCATTGTTGTCGGGAGGAGTGGGTGGAGGGCTAGAATATTCAGACGGCCTTTCCCGCACTTCCTCTTCCACGGGAGCAGCTGCTCTGTCCGTTTGTGCCACGAGAACAAACTGAGCGGCGGCGCCGCTCCCTGCCGTGCCTGGTCGCTGGATCCAATGCTCTTTATCAAACTCGCTCAAATCTGCATCAGACATATCTTCAAATCTTAGTGTGTCTGGATCGTTCCAAGGCAAGGTGGTTTTCTCTTGCTCAGCCTTACTTTTCTCCACAGTCAAAGAATTGTCTGCTTCTATACGATGAGATTCAGAGCCGGAGAGGGAAATTACTTTGACATTTTCATCGAGCGGTTTATTAGGGAACGTGGACGGAGGCGAGGCCAAGCAGAGCTGTTTTGATCCGAGCGTCTGCAAATTCACGCGCCGCGGCACCGTGTTCTCCTGGAAGGTGACGCCCCTGCCATCGTACATCTTCACCAGCCTCAGCCGAAGAGCGCAGTTACCGTGCACCATTTCGGCATTCAAACCTCCCCGGGCGACCGTGTCCGCCGGGCTTCGAGGGTCATACGCGGCGCCGACTCGCCCCCTACCAAACCCGAGCAATCGGCAGGGCGAGGCCCTCAGTGGCAGCGCGGGAGCAGCGCCGCTCAGGCAGCGCAGTCGTGCAGTCAGCGTGACAGACTCCACGCGTTTGTCTGCCAAGTCCCGGGCGAACGTGCCGGCAAACTTTCCGAACCCTCTCCGTGCCACGTACCGGCCCATGCGGCGCTCGCTGTCGCCCAGGGCCAGGGAGCCGGAGGCGGGCAAGAGGGCTATGGCGCTGTCGTGCGGCGGCATCGAGGCTTCTGCATGCCCAGCAATGTCTACGCTCGCTCCATCCGCAATGGCGCAGTCTTGCTCTCCCACGGACGCCAACACGAGGTGTCCGGGCAGCCCCTCCTCTCGTCCATTACGCGGCACCAGCAGATGCGGCTCGCCGCCTTCTCCTCCCGTCCAGGCGGAGTTTTGGTTGTTGTCATCGCTCGCCGCGGTCATTTCCACTTCCTCGTATTCACACTCTTCGCCTCCAACCACCTCCTCATCCGCAACAGCAGCGCAGTCATCCAGCTCCTCAGTTTCATGCGACGGCTCCTGGGTTTCCTGTTAAGTTAACAATGAAAAAAATAATAGATTTAAATTGTCATTACAATATATTTATCTGGAACAAAAATTTGCAAGCTTTACAATACATAGGAGAAATTACTTTGACTATTGAATTTGTGTACACATAGAGTGCTGTTTTCAAGCAACTGCTGGATGAGGGCCTACAATGGAGACGTGAGAGTTTCTTACAGAGACGACTCTTCTCGGAGAGTAGTCGAGGGTTTACCGACCAACTCCGTTAAATGGATTTGTACGCACGCAGGTATCCTGACACATCAATGATGTGAATTTAAAAAAGCTCGGGACCAAAAATAGCACAGCGATTCTTAGCTTTTACCAAAACAAATGCGTAAGTTTAAAGTCCAACCATCCACAATTAGTTTGTTTTTAAGCCATCCAGTGTTTTGTATTCCTGACAAAAGATTCATATCACACGTGTATTTCTATGCAGCAGAGACAACTGTGAACGGCTGGATATGCGAACAGCAGACATGAGAACGCAAGAGGTTTGCATTCACCACACCTATCCCAGTACGCACCATGGGCCAGTAGAGGCCACCATTGGCAGCAAAGCTTAGCGAACACACTTGTCCCGTTTGACATTTATTCCCATATTAATTCCGTGGACGTTTCAAATGAGGTAAAAAAAAACATTTGGTATAAAATTATATTCCCCGTCAAACGTATTCAAGCCTTTGTTTATCATGAAAAGCTACCACGGTGTGTTCCCTTGCTGTCATGCTTATTTGTGATCTAAGAGATAAACTGCTCTAAAAAGGACAATAATTTGCCCGCCTGAGCAGTACTGATAAGCCATTTTTGGGGCCAACGGTCTTTAAGGACCAACAAGCACCACGCCAAGTACCTGCGCAAGTTGGTCGAGCGGAGGATCCGCACGTCCTGGCTCCACCGCCGCAGGTGGTCGCCCGCCCGTGTCCACCACCGGCTCACCGCCACCAATCCACTGGCTGCTGCCACCGTCTTCACAAGCTGCCGCCGCTGCCACCCACTGCCCATCTGCCCCTTGACAATGCCCCTCACCACCACCCTGGCACGCCTCGCTGGTGCCCGCCAGGCCGAACGAGCAACAGCAGCTGTCATGTAGAGGCAGCGCGTTTGGATCCTTGCCGAGTCGGAGCACGAGGGGTACATGCACCTCCTCCTTGGCGTCGGAGTCTTCGTGTCTCACTACTGCTGCCGTTGCATCGTACTCCCCTTCCAGCACGACGGCCTCCACTCGGCTTCTGAACGTGCAGGGCGTCCCAGGCACCAGCTCTTCGAGGCAGAGTGGTGGAATGACCTCCTCCTCCTCGTCGCCTAGCAGCTCTTCTCCAGTTCCTGCTGCCGGAGAGCAGACCTCTCCGAGTTCCACATTGTACGACAGACAGTGCACGCTCAACGTCTCAATGGCAAGCGGTGGCGCAGCAGGATAATCCTTGATGGTAGAAATCACTGGCTCAGGGTTCCCACCGTCACGCGGTTCGACGTCAGCGTGAACCTCTTCAGCTGAACTTTTTAAACGGACCTTTTCGAAAAGCGGTACTTTTTCTTTGTCAGGGGCTTCTTTCGTTTCTCCTTGCCCAGATTCTGCATGTTCCAGATCTACCACCGGCCCTTGCTCCTGCCGCTGCAATGGATCCTGAGCGAACGTTCCCCTTAAATATTTCTTGCTGAACGAATCACCATGCTCATCGTAGAGCTCGACCTCATAGACGGCAGAATGCCCGCAGCAGTCGGCCACAGTGGTGACAACGGCAACGACTTTCAGCATTCGAGACTCCTCCAGGCATGCGCCCACAAACGCGTCGGTGACCTCATCCGGCACAATGCACCCCGTCGATCCACGCAAGAAGCATGGGAACGCAAATGGCGGTGCATCGGCGACGTTGGGCGGGACTCCGCGAAGGCACGATGCGTCCAACTCTTCCTCGTTGCCATAGTCGATGAACATCACCTTGGCACGGCCCGCGGTCACGTCCAGCACGCGTGCACGGTACAGGATGTTGTCTTCGCTATAGCGTGCCAGGTAGAGGCCCCCGACCTCCACCATAGCCAGAGACACCTCTCGCTCGTCCCCCGTCGTTGCGACAACAGACATCAGTGAGGTCAGCTGCTCGTCCGCCAACACCTTCAGCTGGCACCAAAAGTTGTCCAGGCCCCTGGCGAGGGACACGTACACCTCGTACTGCTGCCCGAGCTCCAGCATGCCGTCCATCTCCACCCCATGATTGTCCTCATGTGTGGAGTTAGTAGTCGCACATTCCAGTTCGGACGTTGTTTCCGAGGCCTGCTGCTTCTGCTCCTGCTGCTGCTCCTTTAGCTGCTCCTGCCGTTCCTGCCTGGATTCACCACTCGTGGCGATCATCAGGGTGTCAGCCATTCCCTTGGCCACAAGGGTGTCTGCTATGCTCGTTCCGCTCTCCGCAGTCAGATTCACTTCCCACAAGGCATCATTGCCGCCGTGGGCTCGCGCCAGAAACTCGCAGCGCAGCTCTAAGTCGTGGACGGTTTCGGTGAAGAGTTCGGCCGCCTCCTTTGTCCACTTATTACCACGAACGCTAACGCATGGCCGCACTCCGGCAAGGCTGCACGCGATGCTTTGACGGGGGTGACGCAAAAATACCGGATGCAGCTCGGACATGCTGTCGGAGCCAACCCTGTCCGTGTTGCCATAGTCAATGAACTCAACCAGGGCCAGTGGGTCGTCGGGTTCAAAGCCCCTGACGACAGCGCGATACCAGCTCTCGTCTGCACTGTACTTAGCGCAGATGAGGTCCCCTAGCTTCAGGTCGCTTGGGCGCAAGCTGCCGCCGCTCACACTGCCATCATTCAGCTCTTCGGCGAGACCGTAAATCGTCTGCTCGTCGGACACAAGCTGGACGTAGAAACGAGACGGGGTGACCACATGCAACACAAACACGTTCAAGGTGGCACCCGCTTGCCCGTCGCCCATAGGAGAAGCGGCAAGATCCTCCAACTTTGGAAGAATTTTAGCCTTCGCCTCTTGCTCCTTCTCCCGAGTGGCATCTCCTTCCCCGTCGTTTACAGTGCTGTGGCAGATCGGCAAGCACGACTTGGTCCCCTCCAAAGTGGTGTCGCCCAACACGTTGGCGACACTGCTTTCCAGGTACTTCGGCGTCACATTCTCAGGTATCACGTTGTGCGCTACCACGTTACGCGGTGTCACGTTGCCAAGTGTCAAGCTGCAGGTTCTGTCAGCCTGAGAGCTGCCTTCGGAGTGAACGCACCTTCCGTTTCTGCCCCGAGTGGTTGCTTTGTCTTGCCACTGACTCGACGGGTTCTCGCTCTCTCTGACTTGCCTCCGGAAGGAATAAGAGGGCTGCCCGTGCATCGCCTTCCCGTATCCCGCTGTGTTCATCGCATCTGGGCTTCTCTTTCTGACGACTTGATCCATCCTCGGAGAATCGCTGGCAGAAACTCGCCTCGGCAAGGCCTCCGGCTGTTCCCGCTTGGACGACGCTGCGTGCTTGCCGTTCCCTTTCCCTAGATGCACGGCGCTTTGCTCGGGCTCCCTGTCTGCCGGCTTGGTTGGCTTGTGCCTGCCCTGGGCCGGCGCAGGACCCAGGACGGGCATGAGCCTCTCCGGGGGCTCGTGTGACGGCGCACTCGTCACCGGCGGACGGTGGCTCTGCTCCCTGGCTCTGTACGTCACCGCGTCTCTGCGGGCGCTGCCTGTTTGAGCTATGACCTCGGGCAGCTGCCGCTGCTGCTGCTGGTGCAGCCGTCGAGAAGGGGGGAGAGAAGGGTTCAGCATCTGGTTGATAGTTGTGTTGAGGCGTTGCGAGCCGTGGAACAGCTCCAGCCCGAGTTGGCCGAAATCCTCCCGGCATAGCACCACGGCTTTCATGTCCAACGAGTACACCATATCACGGAAGAAGGACAACACCGAATCGGGGAAGCCCTGCAAAAGAAGAGAGGCGTTCACAATTAACGAGCAAGGTGTCCCGGGGTCAGGCTATGGGGTTGAGTGGGTTCATCTCTCAAGGTTTTGCCACCACGCTCTACTGCGGAAAAGGCCAGTAGGGGGTCGAAGTGAGGAATCTCAACATGGTCATCCTGTCTGGGTGGAGACCATGAGAGGCAGATAAGAGCACTACCAAAGTGAGATTCCATTACTTTGACTCACCAAGAGAACAACATTCTTTTGGGACATGCAGCCTAACCTGGAAGGCCACAACTTTGAGAGGGGGTCTAACGCAGCCGTGGCAGTTGCCCACGTGGCTCAGGGAGCTGACACCAGCATCAGAGACCCGAGCCACCACTGCGGAGAACTCAAGTATAAATGTTGACACATTTGTGTTAGCCACAAACCCACGGTGCTGGATTACGAGCGTGTGCTATCACCTTCCGATTATGATTGAAAGTGCTTTTCCGATACATCAAAAAATGTGCAATTTGTATTGCCACGTGACAAACAAATCTATAGCGAGGCAACGCACCGCTGGTGTTAAAAAATCTCGAGTGCCATGTGGTCACCTTTCAGAGACCTGTCTCTTAACCCACACTGCTTCCCGCGAATTCTTAATGGGTATTTATTAATCTCATAACTTGACACACGCATCATTAATATCAACATGTTATACGTCCGTCCCAGTTATTCGTATTATGGGTATTCATATGAAGCTTTCGTTTGCAATGCTTTTCAAGATGTCCCCTCAAGCCAAGACACGCCTACCCAGTCCACTTCCTTTCATGAACTCTGAAATATGGGGTCTACAATTTGCATATTTTCACCGATCTGTGCATTTTCCTTTCAGTTTCATTGCAAATTTAAAACATGCCTCTCTCCGCATTTGGTTTGCGCGCACCTTTTAGCTTAAATTTCATTCTTTGCCATCGTGAATGTATCTGACCCGCGCCATATCGTTTTCAGGAACCCGGCGGAAATCTTTGTTCTCAATAGGCGACTGACTGAATATTGCAAAAGTGACTGCTACACATCTCGCAGAGGAACAGAGGACATGTGGGTGGGGGGGAATTTTTTTTGGTGAAAAATTATTAAGTAACCAAAAGAAGATAACAGAAGCTCCCCGTAATAACGTTACGTGATAACTTTACATTTAGAAGTTACTAGAGTGCACAGCAGATGGTGGTTGATGGAGAGTGCATTTAGAGAGAGAGTAGTATAACACCCATTATGGTGGTGTTGTGAACACCGAGGGTTAAGCGCCCCCCTCAGCTTAGCGCGTCGTCACCTACACTGACGAAAAATTGTGTTCTCGTTTTTCCATTTTTAAACACAACCATTGAAGTGACGCAACTCATTTGAAATCCAATTACGTTCCCAAATTGACTGGCGACGTTACAGGGAAATGACGTAAATAGGGGCAAGATAGAGAACTTACTGTATTGAGGGGGAGGGGGTGGGAAGGAGGGGGGTGGCAGGCAAAGCCCCCCATCAATAACACCGATCACAGACACTGCCATCGCGCCAGCAACGCTACCTCCTTGGGTGCAGAGACGTCCACCAAGAAGCACTGAATCGCCTGACATGGCAGCTCCGCTAAGCAATAGGCGTCAGGGAGCAGGGGCAGCACCTTGGACTTCTCCACAACCTGTGTTAGCACAAAAAACGAGCAGCAGCAGCAGCGCAGTGTGAAAGATAAAGGTTGTTATAGGTGCGGCCTTGGAATGTTTTGCTCTTGCCGCTGACAGACCAAGGGCCTCCGTGAGAAGGGGCTCTCGATGGCATTTGGCCTACTCTTCCGCGCTGATGACTTGGATGAGCTGGGATTATTCACACATCATCGCAATTCCACGCGACCTGCCGGTCGACTAACTGCTGTGTGCTCATATTGTACTACTGCCAGGTGGAAAGTGGCCACGAAAGGGTGATTTAGGAATCTTTCACTGTCGTTTTAACTGCTGCCACAAGCAGGTGAAATTGAACCTGCGAACTCTGCATTGCAATTCCAATGTGCCAACCGTCGCACAGCATCAGCATCTCACCCAAAGAGAACTGAAAGATGCAACCCAAAACCGAACAGGCCTCCTCTCTAGGAGGAACAGTAGGCAACCATGTAATGATCCATCCATCCGTCAGTTAATATCGATTCGATTTCTAAGCCGAGAAAACATGCACTGAAATGTTGATTCATACATGGTCGACGTTCGTGGGCAGAGCAGTGGGCAGTGCAGCAAAATATATTGTTCAGCTGTACTTCTATGACCATCATCTCAGGTTCCCTGTCTTCACAAAGCCGCACTGATCAGCGTATTTAAGTATCACTAAGTAACTCCCATGACCTGCATGGCATAGCCAGCGGTGGGGCTGTGCGTGTAGAACGTTTGCAATCTGTTCAAATAAACCAGTTGCCCATGGGCCACTGGCGGCCCATGATGTGCCAACCCATACGGTTTATCCGTATTCTTATACAGGGAAATTGAGTTTTCAGGACCATACGACATACAGCCATTTCAATAAGGGCAAAAAAATATAGTTTTGTCTATTTGTTTGCGTTTCTCCCTTGTGATAGGTCTTTGTAGGATGAACGGCTCAGATTAATAAGGGAATGGGGTGACCAATAAGATCTGAATTAGTTTGTAATAAGGACAGGTATGTGTGCGGCCCCCGGCAAACAAGTGTGGCGCTCTGTTGCGGACTCTTTGTCAGGATAAAAAAAAAAACTATTTAAAATAATCTCACTGGGATAATTTTTCAGACGACTTACATTACATTTTGATTTAAAGCTTTCGTGACTGCAGGCATTCCTATTCTTGGTTCTTTCGATAAAGTTTCCCTTCTACGTGACTTACATTACGTAATTATTTATCGAGCCTTCGTGGTAACAAAGGTCACGTCAACTGATTTCTGTGCGACGCCACTTTTGGCAGGATCAGTGTGGAAGTGACGTAAAATAAGCGATGTAATTTCCTGCAGCGTCGTCATTTGGAACGCATCCAAACAGCAAGAAACAGTTCCCAGATCACACCGGGTATGTGAAAGAGTGAAGCGTCGCAGCTTGCTCACCTCGTTGTTCCCGTAATCGATAAATGACACGTTGACTTCATTGGGGTTAGGGCCCTGTGTGGCCAGCGCCCGGTGCCACTGCCCGTCGCCGACGTACTGAGCAAAGCACAATCGCCTTTCCATATCAAACCTACACAGGTGGAAAGGTTACACAGCAGCCCAGATGAATTCATTAATTCATCACGCAGTCGGCGAAGGAGCGTTGCGCCAAATGTATGAACCGACGACACAAAAGCATTCGTCACGTCGCGTTATCGCGCGAGTAATCAGGTACACGCTGCGTAAGCAGGAACCAGCTGGGATGTATATAGCGTCCAAATGGAACCGCATCTTAAGACGCTGTAGTGAGCGGTGCGATGTTAGCAGCTTAGAGAAAGATTTTTATTATTTTAAGATCGAAAGCAACAATTGTAATAGGCAGGGGGGGCAAAAGGTCTTGAGCCTGGATTTGAACGAGGGTAGGGAGTCGACAGCATGGATGGCTGGGAGGAGATCAAGACTATGGAAGTAGTGGAAGCGAAAGAGCAACTTCCCAAATAATCAATATTCAACCCAATTCCACCTCAGAACACTTGCATGTTCTCCCCGTGGTCGCATGGAATTTTTCTCCAGGATCTCCGGTTTTTCCCTCCACATTTAAAAACGTGCGTTTAAAAGAGTATTTGGCTGCTATAAATTACCACATAAGCCACTTTGTTGAACTGTCATTTGTGGCCAGATCGCTTCTGAAAAAGAATAGCTCAGTGGGCTTCATCTGATAAAATAAAAGTTACATTTTAGTGTATTTATTTATTTTGTTATTTACTTATCTTTCGTATAATTTGGACTCCTATCGTGTTTTTGTATTGTTTGGTGTTGTAAGTTTCTGACCTGCCACCCTACTAGACATGTGAAAAACAGCTTTATAGTTCATCGGATTTGTCCAGGATAAAGCTTCTGATTTTGTCAGACATCGTGATGCATGCCTCTGAGCTGGCGCTTTGGAGGCAGATAACCTTGAAATATGTTAAACTCTCCAAGAACCCATCTGCGCGGACCTTTGAGCGTTAAAAACCTTTAACGTGTGGAATTGTTCCAGGCACTCTGCAGTTACTTCCCACAAGGAAAAAATACCTGGAGAGGGACCAAGGTCAGGAATAGGCAATGCCCCCTGGCAATGTTACATAGTGGTAAAAAAGTTCAGCGCAAGGTACCATCTCGTGATTTTGCATGCTCCGCACGAAACACGACCAGCATATGCCGAGTCACGCGCCACCTACGTCTGCCTGCCGTAGGCGTGGCTGCAGTGCTTGCCGAGCTTGACCATGAAGAGTTTGAGGGCGTCGACGTTGCGCGTCAACTGGCACCAGAACCTGCTCGGGCTCTCCGCGTGTGTCATGATCACGCCCTCCTCGGCGCCGATCTTGATGCCGTGCGTCGAGTAGGGGAAGGACAGCGGGCAGTCAGACTCGGCCAGATGTCTGGGCGGATCCAACATCTTGGCCAGGCCCCTGCTGACAAGCTGCGCACTCGCGCTCTGGAACGGCGTGTGCAGGTCCACGAGGTTGAAAAAGTCCCTTTTGTTGCGCTCGACGAGCATAATGATGGTGCAGTTGAGACCGTAAGCGAGGGCCTCCTTCGTGAAGCTCTTGAAAATCTCCGTAGCCTGGTCCCTCTGCTCCTCGTGGGCCTCCAGGCAGTTGTAGAGGCTGCACTTGAAGGCCTGCATCTTGAGCTTCAGGAACTGTGGGACAATCGGATAGAGGTCCCTGGTGCTGACCTGCACCTCCCTGCCATCATCCAGGATCAAGACCGAGGCCATGCTGCGAGAGCCCTTGACCACCTCGTAGATAAAAACTCTGTACCACTGGTCTTCAGGAGCGTAATGGGCGACGCATACACCGGCCTCCAAGTGCGGCAATGGCGCTTTCCAGTTACGGTAGTGCTCGTTCAGCTTCCTGTTCAGTAAGGCGACGTTCCTTTCAGCCGACGTCAGCCGACACCAGAACTCCCAGGGTGACTTAATGGAGGTAACGATGACATCCGTCATCTCCCCCACAACAAACATCAGGGGTTCCACTACTGTGATGGACACCCCCACGGCCGGTCTCGGGACTGGTGCCACCTCCTGTGGTTGCGGTACAACGCTGTCATGGTCGTTAGCACCATCAGAGTTCGGCCCAGTAGGAGACGATACCGCCACCATCGAATCGGAGACACCAGCACTACTCACCTTGAGCAATTCAGCGTGGCCAGACAAGGCCACTGCTAGCCCACCTCTGATCAACTCTTTAGCTATGCTGGAAGACTCCGATTTCCCAATACTGTAGAGGTCCACCTCGTAGCCGTCTGCGGAATTGCTCCTTGGAATCATCGCCAAATGCTTGTTGAAGACCTGCGAGTGGAAGAACCAAGTTGCCATGGAGCTCCAGCGGTCTGTGGACGTGCAGTTGCCGCCCTGATGTCGCACCTCTGGCGGCGCCACGCCAGCCAAGCGGCACCGCACCACGCAAGCCGGAAGCTCCTGTGTGGGAGAGACACGGAGAAATATAAAAATGCGTTTGTCCTCGGAGGTATTTTAATTATCGGTGACGTTTCGAGCCGCACAGCGAGCCGACATCGAACTTTGCGTGGCGGGTGACGTTGCGAAATTACATCGCACGTAATAGCATCAGAGGGGAGGACGAGGCGCACATGTGGCATGTGACATCACGAATTTGGCTTCGAGAGAGCTGATCTGCTTACCTCCAATTTTTACCGTCAAGTATTGGGCGATCCTTCGATTCATTTGGCAAGTTTTTCATTGTCCAATTCCTAATAGCAGCACAACTCTCCTGTAATATTTAATTTTGGATCATCTTTATGGCTACTGGCGTGGCCCCTTGTTGCAGACACAGACCGAGCTAATGCAATTGCTTTTCAACCTTAGTGAGCAAACGTTAACAAGGGTTTTCGTCGTGGATATTTTCCCAACCCAAGAGATGAAAAAAAACATTGGTCAAGAACGGTGGCATTATTTTTTTTAGTTGCAAGACGCAGCACAAGACAAACATCTGGAGTTTTAAACACGGCCTTAGACTTGTGAGCAGACGGCAGTTTAATCTATGTTGCTAATACACACCCCCTTCAATAAGAATCATGGCAACACTATATTACATAAATAAACATTTGTCAAGTTAATGAATTTCAGTAAGTTCTTTCATACAGTTGAGTAAGGGGGTGTTCAGACCAGAAGAAACTAAGGAATTATATAATCACCTTCGACCTAAACAAAACTTTTACACACGCTCGAAAATAACTCAAATATTCACGAGTGTTATCGCAGAGTATAACAAAATAAGTAAGTAGACAATGCCTCCTTCACCTATCCATCTCGCCACTTTCAGCGGCATTGAATCCCAGGAGGCTGTGCGGTGAATGGGTTATGTAAGAAACTTTTTGTTTACGTGGAGATATGGGTATGTTAAGGCAACATTGTCAGCTTACCTATTTTGTTCATGATATTCTCTTATGTGACCAGCTACCTACGTTTGATTCACTGCCACGGCTATCATCGGTACAAAAGGAATTTGAACCCTCCCCCCACTTCTTCACCAAACCACACTGCAAAGTGAAGTATTGTCCAACAACCCCCATAATCGACGCGGCATGGATAAACCTTTCTCCAACAGTGGCTTGACGAAAGGGCTGAAGGCCTTACAGATTTTTTTGGAGCCAACTTGACACCCTTCAAAAACTCTAGCTCTGCGGCGATAAAATCGGGCCAACTGGAGTTGACTCGAAAACTAGCTGTGCCGTGGAAACTCGGGGTTGATTTTCAAGATGGGCCACATGGCCGCGACTACCCTCGCTGTCGTCAAAACGCACCAGGAAATGAGGAGGCAGAGCTCGGATGTCTTTCGGTTCAACGAATTGCGAGATGCCGTAGTCGACGCAATGAACCTGCACTTCTCTTGGGGAGATCACGCCCGTCACCGTGGCCCGGTAGAACGTGTTGTTGGGGCACCTGACGGAACAAAGCCAGCGGCAATGAAAATGTACAACCGTCAGTCAAATGTAAAACATTAATGAGCGTCTTCATGCATCTTTGCTGCCCTCTCGTGACTGACAATCACATGACAAGGGTACTACTCAAGGGCACCTACAGTGAGGGAAAAAAGTATTTGATCCCCTGCTGATTTTGTATGTTTGCCCACTGACAAAGAAATGATCAGTCTATAATTTTAATGGTAGGATTATTTGAACAGTGAGAGACAGAATAACAACAAGAAAATCCAGAAAAACGCATGTCAAAAATGTTATAAATTGATTTGCATTTTAATGAGGTAAATAAGTATTTGACCCCCTCTCAATCAGAAAGATTTCTGGCTCCCAGGTGTCTTTTATACAGGTAACGAGCTGAGATTAGGAGCACACTCTTAAAGGGAGTGCTCCTAATCTCAGCTTCTTACCTGTATAAAAGACACCTGTCCACAGAAGCAATCAATCAGATTCCAAACTCTCCACCATGGCCAAGACCAAAGAGCTCTCCAAGGATGTCAGGGACAAGATTGTAGACCTACAGTGAGGGAAAAAAGCATTTGATCCCCTGCTGATTTTGTACGTTTGCCCACTGACAAAAAATGATCAGTCTATAATTTTAATGGTAGGTTTATTTGAACAGTGAGAGATAGAATAACAAAAATCCAGAAAAACGCATGTCAAAAATGTTATAAATTGATTTGCATTTTAATGAGGGAAATAAGTATTTGAAGCCTCTGAAAAACATGACTTAGTGCTTGGTGGCAAAACCCTTGTTGGCAATCACAGAGGTCAGACGTTTCTTGTAGTTGGCCACCAGGTTTGCACACATCTCAGGAGGGATTTTGTCCCACTCCTCTTTGCAGATCTTCTCCAAGTCATTAAGGTTTCGAAGCTGACGTTTGGCAACTCGAACCTTCAGCTCCCTCCACATATTTTATATGGGATTAAGGTCTGGAGACTGGCGAGGCCACTCCAGGACCTTAATGTGCTTCTTCTTGAGCCACTCCTTTGTTGCCTTGGCCGTGTGTTTTGGGTCATTGTCATGCTGGAATACCCATCCACGACCCATTTTCAATGCCCTGGCTGAGGGAAGGAGGTACATGGCCGCGTCCATCGTCCCTTTGATGCGGTGAAGTTTTCCTGTCCACTTAGCAGAAAAACACCCCCAAAGCATGTTTCCACCTCCATGTTTGACGGTGGGGATGGTGTTCTTGGGGTCATAGGCAGCATTCCTCCTCCTCCAAACACGGTGAGTTGAGTTGATGCCAAAGAGCTCCATTTTGGTCTCATCTGACCACAACACTTTCACCCAGTTGTCCTCTGAATTATTCAAATTTCATTGGCAAACTTCAGACGGGCATGTATATCTGCTTTCTTGAGTAGGGGGAACTTGCGGGCGCTGCAGGATTTCAGTCCTTCACGACGTAGTGTGTTACCAATTGTTTTCTTGGTGACTATGGTCCCAGCTGCCTTGAGATCATTGACAAGATCCTCCCGTGTAGTTCTGGGCTGATTCCCCACCGTTCTCATCATCATTGCAACTCCACGAGGTGAAATCTTGCATGGAGCTCCAGGCCGAGGGAGATTGACAGTTATTTTGTGTTTCTTCCATTTGCGAATAATCACACCAACTGTTGTCACCTTCTCACCAAGCTGCTTGGCAATGGTCTTGTAGCCCATTCCAGCCTTGTGTAGGTCTACAATCTTGTCCTTGACATCCTTGGAGAGCTCTTTGGTCTTGGCCATGGTGGAGAGTTTGGAATCTGAATGATTGCTTCTGTGGACAGGTGTCTTTTATACAGGTAACAAGCTGAGATTAGGAGCACTCCCTTTAAGAGTGTGCTCCTAATCTCAGCTCGTTACCCGCATAAAAGATACCTGGGAGCCAGAAATATCTCCGATTGAGAGGGGGTCAAATACTTATTTCCCTCATTAAAATGCAAATCAATTTATAACATTTTTCACATGCGTTTTTCTGGATTTTGTTGTTGTTATTCTGTCTCTCACTGTTCAATTAAACCTACCATTAAAATTATAGACTGATCACGTCTGTCAGTGGGCAAACGTACAAAATCAGCAGGGGATCAAATACTTTTTTTCCGTCACTGTACACAAGGCTGGAATGGGCTACAAGACCATTGCCAAGCAGCTTGGTGAGAAGGCGACAACAGTTGGTGCGATCATTCGCAAATGGAAAAAACACAAGAACTGTCAATCTCCCTCGGCCTGGGGCTCCATGCAAGATCTCACCTCGTGGAGTTGCAATGATCATGAGAACGGTGAGGAATCAGCCCAGAACTACACGGGAGCATCTTGTCAATGATCTCAAGACAGCTGGGACCAGTCACCAAGAAAACAATTGGTAACACACTACGCCGTGAAGGACTGAAATTCTGCAGCGCCTGCAAGGTCCCCCTGCTCAAGAAAGTACATATACACGCCCGTCTGAAATTTGCCAATGAACATCTGAATGATTCAGAGGACAACTGGGTGAAAGTGTTGTGGTCAGATGAGACCAAAAAGGAGCTCTTTGGCATCAACTCAACTCACCGTGTTTGGAGGAGGAATGCTGCCTATGACCCCAAGAACACCATCCCCATCGTCAAACATGGAGGTGGAAACATTATGCTTTGGGGGTGTTTTTCTGATAAGGGGACAGGACAACTTCATCGCATCAAAGGGACGATGGACGGGGCCATGTACCGTCAAATCTTGGGTGAGAACCTCCTTCCCTCAGCCAGGGCATTGAAAATGGGTCGTGGATGGGTATTCCAGCATGACAATGACTCAAAACACACGGCCAAGGCAACAAAGGAGTGGCTCAAGAAGAAGCACATTAAGGTCCTGGAGTGGCTTAGCCAGTCTCCAGACCTTAATCCCATAGAAAATCTGTGGAGGGAGCTGAAGGTTCGAGTTGCCAAACGTCAGCCTTGAAACCTTAATGACTTGGAGATCTGCAAAGAGGAGTGGGACAAAATCCCTCCTGAGATGTGTGCAAACCTGGTGGCCAACTATAAGAAACATCTGACCTCTGTGATTTCCAACAAGGGTTTTGCCACCAAGTACTAAGTCATGTTTTGCAGAGGGGTCAAATACTTATTTCCCTCATTAAAATGCAAATCAATTTATAACATTTTTGAAATGCGATTTTCTGGATTTTTTTGTTATTCTGTCTCTCACTGTTCAAATAAACCTACCATTAAAATTATAGACTGATCATGTCAGTGGGCAAACGTACAAAATCAGCAGGGGATCAAATACTTTTTTCCCCCACTGAATGGTGTTAGGTAATTATCAAACAGCGAAGCGGTGAGAAATGGTGAGAGGAGGTTGGCCATGTACATCCCACAGCACAGTGGTGGTATAAAAAGAGGGTGGATGGTAACGCATGGTTGGGCATTTTGGTGTTTAAATTGCACCGCACAGAGGCAGTGGTAGATGGTGGGAAGTGTTTGTATGATTGTGTTGGTAGTTACATTGCGCAGCACGCCATGCCTACAGCTGCCTTGTCCAGCAAGCCCTCGCGTGGTCCTGCCAGGCTGAAATGCTTCTGCATCTGCACCATGAGTTTTTGCAACTCCCCATTCTTGCTCGTCAAGCGCACCCAGAACTCGTCGGGGCTCACAATGTTCTCCACGTACACGTGTGTAAAGTTTTGCAGGCGAAGCTTAAGCGCTGTGAAGATGGGACGGCCCGCACCGACGCCCACGTCCGCAAGAGCCATCGGTGGCAGTGCCACCACGGACGACGGCGCGCCGCTACCATGGCCAATGGCGGTGGCTGCCGTGTCTGGCAGAGAGGGCACCGTCACCACCCTGTCTGGCAAAGTGGCTTTCATGGCTGGCCGAGTGGCTGCCATTTCAGAAAACTTTTGGAACACAGACTCGCCATTCTGATCCAAAAGCACCACGTAGTACAGCTTTTCTATTCTGTTGTAGGACACCACCTGCGCCGTGAAGACACTGTTCAACAGGATCGACTTCAGCAGCAGCACCTCCTCGGTGGACCAGATGCGGCTGCCCTCCTGCAAGGTGGCATGCGCGCCCACCATGGCGCACCTGAATGCCTGCACAGGGAGGTCGAAAAACTCGGACAACAGAGGCTGCAGGTGTTTTGACGGCATGCAGGCCCGAGTGCCCAAGTCCACGAAGTGCACCACCGCCTCAGAGGGCGAGCTGTTGTGGATAACTAGCCCGCGATACCACTGCCCGGTTCTCGTGTTCAGCACGGCACAAGGGCTATTTGACGGTAGTGGAAATTGCACACCGCGAGCATCCGCCTCCAGGTAGCGCAAGGCCATGAGCTGAATGAGGCGCTGCAGATCGAGCCGAAAGCTCTGCAGCTGGCAAAAGAAGCTGTCGGGGCTGATTACATGCGTGACCAGTACAGTCTGCAGAGTGCCCACTGGCATGCGGGTGCTGTAAAATGCAGACATCTCATGGCGACCTGCAGCCAATTGTATTTTTGGTCCTGCAGGTGGAATGATGGGAGGTTGTTCAGCGTTGAAGTGTTGCTTCAGGTCGCCAAGACTTGCAGAGGGGTAAGCGCGGGAGACCGTCGGCAGTTTGGGCAGCTGTGCTGTTTCAGGCTTCGCATCATCCACAATTTTTAAGTTGACAATCATCTGGAACACGTTCGAGTCGACGGGGCGCGCACAGCGCATCTGGCACAACTGCGTGGCCATGAGTTCCAGGTTGACAACGATGGTATGGTCGTCCAGGAAACCCTCCACACGACCGTGCATCTTCGTGTCGCGCTGCGATTCCACATAGTCGAGCACCAACTTGGACCAGCAACTGCTCATCGGCAGCACGTTGGCTAGGGCGTAGCACTGCATCATGGGAGGGATCTGGAAAAATTCTGGCCGCCCCTCACGCATGAATCTGGCCTGCACAACCTCTCTTAAGCCCAGGTCGATAAAGAAGACGAGGTAGTTGGGAACGATGCCCTGCTGCAACTGTTGCGAATCGGCGTGGGCCAACACTTTGGCGCGGTGCCAGCTTGCCTCTTTGCTGTACCAGGCGATGCATGGCTCCCCCACAGCAAGCGGCGTAGACAAACCTACTGGCTCCCAGCTCAGTGGCATCATAACGGCTTTGCGAATGGTGCGGAAGTTAGCGTCAATGTCCGCCCGGGTAAGGCGGGCCCAGAAGCGCAGCAGCAGTGGGTTGTCGGGGGATTGTGGCTCTGCATGGCTGAGCAGCACGTCGAGCTCATAGCCGCACTTCAGCGGGCACGGATACCGGCTCATGGCTCCGGAAGAGGCAATGGCAGTCCACGATGAAAGTCAATCACGGAGTGGCCTAGAATGACAAGACACACAAGCAAAGGATGACCACAGTTAAATGAAGATCTGTGGTGACCTACACTTACAGGGGACGCACAAGAGGATTGCCACATTGAAAACTCATAAAGAATCGCCAAGCCAAAGCAATTGGATAAATTGTAACAATTTGAAGTCATGATTCAAGAATCAATGTTTTTTTGCCTTAACACCAAGGATTACATATTTTAAGCATGAGCTGTACATCTGTCTGTAGAGTGGGTAATGTTAATGCTTGTGAAGATTATTAAATATTAATTCAATTTGTATTTAAAGCTTTCGTGACTGCAGGGATTCATATTATTGGTTCTTTCGGTAAAGTCACGTAGAAGGGAATAAAAATATAAAAACAATGAAATTCTCACGACGTTTCGACCGCAACACAAGCAATCATCATCAGGTGTGAAAACCACAGCAAGAAAAATGGGAAAAATTTGTATTGCTGTGGTTTTCACGCCTGATGATTGCTTGTGTTGCAGTCAAAACGTCGTGAGAATTGTATAGTTTTATATTTTTATTATTTTGTTTCCCTTCTACGTGACTTCACCGAAAGAACCAACAATATGAATTAAATGTTTGTACAGTACGGTCTAAAAAGAGTACGCGGGCTCAGAGTACTCGTACTTTGGTTACACACACAGGGCTGGAAGTGAGGAGTCAAATCACTCCTTGCCATCACGCGAACAATTGACGGCGTGCAAACTGTCACCCACGCAAGAAACGAGTCCAAACAAATATCGTGTTCTACCAAACCTGGATACTACCGATGATTCGTGGATCATTTACTCTACAGTACTGTTAAACATTTATGTATATCCTTGTCAGCTTCGATGTGGTCTCTTTGTTCACCAAGGTCCCAGTACCTGATACCATTGAAATAATTGAAAATTTGGTCCAACATGGACTAGACCCCGGACACACCTGCACTGGTTAGGCACTGCCTCAACAATACCTACTTTACTTGGAATGGCTCCTTCTACAAACAAAATGAGGGTACCCCCATGGGATCCCCCTTGTCACCAGTGATAGCCAATATTTTCATGGAGAAATTTGAATCAGACGCCATCCAGACTTCCACCCTCAGACCTTCCCTGTGGAAGAGATGTGGATGACACTTTCGTCATTTGGCCACATGGCCTCCCAGCTCTGAACCTTTTCCTACACCACATCAATTCCAGACATCCTGCCATCAAATTCACCATGGAAGTGGAGAAAGATGGCAAGCTACCATAGATGTTCTGTTTCAGAGGAGACCTGATGGCTCATTGGGGCATTCTGTCTACAGGAAACCCACCCACACAGATTCCTACTTGAAACCTGATTCCCACCACCACCCAGCCCAAAATAATTATCTCATCAAAACTTCATACCATAGGGCTCATTGCATTTCGGACCAACACCACCTGACCAGTGAATTAAAACATGTACACCTGGCCCTCAAAAGGAATGGATACTCTGACCGTACCATCTGCCAAGCTGTTTCTCCCTCCATACAGAAACAACCACTTGATACTCCGGTCAAAACCATCACACTACCATATATAGCAGGCGTTACTAAAAAGATTTCCAAAATTCTAAACAAACACAAGATCCAGGTACGGTTCAATACAGTACACAAAATTCGTGATCTGATCCCATCCGTGAAGGATGTCATTTCTGACTTACAGTACCCCGGGGTTTACAAATTGAGTTGTACCTGCGGTGATTGCTATATCGGGGAGACAAAGCGACATGTCTCTGACCAAATTCGCGAGCACAAATCAGATTTGAAACACGGCAAAACGAATTCTTCTGCCGTAGCTGATCACTGTTACAACGCTGTGGGTGATCACGATATAATTTTCTCCGATACCAAGGTTCTTTGCAAACCCACGGGATTTTATCAGAGATTTGTTCACGAGGCAATTCAGATCTACAAACACAGACTCAATTTCAACCGAGATGGTTTCAAATTAAGCAACCATTGGAAAGATGTTCTAAATCGAATCAAACATTAAACTAATTTTCAATGGTACAGTATATTTTTCAAGTAGTGGTACCCCAAACTTTCGCAGCTCTTAAAAATTCCCTTTTCACACCATCAATAGGCAAACTCCCCCTCCCCCCCGCGCCAAACGGCAAGTGCACCCGCACGTACACCACCTCTATGCTAAGTCGGCCAATCAAATGCTATTTTTTATGCTAATTCCTTTGTCAAGGCACCTTGTTTCCTCGCACACAGCTTAAAGGTCGCGGTCTGAGCGTGGCTGTGTTTCACTCCAGCGCTGTCCTCGAGACGGCCTGATCCCTTCACCTGATGAAGGCCGCTTGTGTTGTGGCCGAAACGTCGTGATTTTTGTTGTTTTATTTTTTACCTACGTGACTTTACCGAATAGAACCAAAGAGTATGGATCCTTGCAGTCACGAAAGCATTAAATCTAGAATTTATGTACATGTTATATACCATCTTACATGTTATATACACTCGCATAGGCGAACCCTAACTTACGTGAATTCGTGCTTACGTGGGGATACACGGAACCTAACTCCCGCTTACTGAGACCTGACGGCATTAAGTTGTGTTGCTATTTGGGACTTGCCCAAAAGGAAAATGCAGAGATCATCGCCATGTGCGATATGAACAAGGGCCATTGCCCAAAACGTCACCGATTAATATCTATAGCTCTCTTTTAAGCTGTTGTTTAGTTTTGTTAATTGTCCACCACTGCAAACGCAGCATTAACAAATAATATTCTATATTTTTTATTTGCTACCATTTCCATTGTACTGTTTCCCCATTATTCCATTTGTAGGCTGTTTTCACCATTTGCCTACACATATTGGCATTAATTTTAATACTTTCTCAAACGCAAGACTTGATACATGTCTTGAGCTGGACTGACTTTAATTGATAAATCAGTGCATTCTGAGAAGTGTAACAATTACTGTAAACTAGGCAGCATAACACATGCAGCACATGGAGGTGATATATGCGTGCACTTAATAAATAAAATGTCTGTGGGCAGCCTCCACCCGCATTCAGAGTAGACAAATTAAACTCTTTAAAACACAAACTCAAGCGTTACCATTTTTTGTTATTTTACTAAGGCCCACCGAGCTATATAGGTCTTTGGTAGAAGCGACCCGACCACAAATCAGACTCTATACTTGTCATTGAGGGCCTAAGTGTTATTGACGGGGTTTTTTTTTGTCTCGCATTATAACAGGCCGTGCACTGAAAGTGGGCAGTCAAATAAAAAGCCAAGAACGAGTTCCGTGAAATTACACACAAAGAAGATGATTAATACGTCCAATAAAACAACTCCGTAATACGGTGATGAAATACGAATTTGAGACGATAAATCAAGTAATGCCATGTTGCTTTTCATTCTCAACTTCGCCTCTCCAAAAAAAGCGTAGAGACGTCGTATACGGCCTTCTTAAAGGCCTCGTTAAGACACACCTAAAACGAGGCCCTACTTGCCAACATTGACAACGCCTGTGCGTGTCCCCTACAACAGGGCCACACACAACCTACCCCCCCCATCTGAAGCCACCCGGTGGAGTTTTGCAGTCCTCCAACGCGAGAGATAAGGACAACACGGACTTTCTCACGAAGCCAGCCCGTCGTGGCTACAGCAGACCATGGACATGGTTTGGGCGTTTAACAGCCGAACAGATGGGCCCCATACGGCAAGCGGAGATTCAGAGGCCCACAAGAGCTGCCACAGAGACACGCAGATTCAAATACCTTCCGATACGTAGATATTGTACGTTAAAGACAGGCATAGCAATCTAAAACGATAGTAAACCGATGTAGTCCGAGCTCGTTTAGCGGAGAACTTGCAAACCTACGCGAACTCTCTCGCTCCTGATGCCCTGTCGTCGTCGGACAGCAGACCTTGCCAATGGCGTTAAACTCCGCAACACTGCCAAATAACAAGAACAGCCCCCATGCGAGCCGCCTATAACACCTGTTATGCAAGGTGGTAACCCTCCACCTCTCCCCCATCCGAATCCCGAGCAATAACGCATACTCAAACCTCCTTAGCTTCATAACTTTACCAAGATCGGGCGCATTCCGGGCGATTATTTTAACAAAAAATGCAATAGTCCATGAGCGCCAGAGACGACATCGCACTTTCTGCCGTCCAAGGTGGCGCCTATCATCAGTTACAGTCTCCCTTTTGCGGCCCAAAACAAGTTAATGATGCACCAAACACTTTAATTTAGTTGAGCGAGACTGTCAATTCAATAGAAATTAGCCGTCCGAATAAAAATAAAATCGGTGATAGCTAAACGTTTTGCTACCTTAGGTGGCCATGAAGATTTCTCGTCCGAGGCCAGGGAATTAAAATGGTGTCTGGACCTCGCCCACTAAGCGAGGGGCATCGCCGAAACGGCACTCCGTGAGTTGCAATTAAGCGTCAAGTTTTCTTCGATCGAACAAGGCCGCAAGAATTAAGAGAATCGAGACGATCGATAGGTTACGATCACGACATTACCGTTCCGAAAATACGCGCGGTTACAGTAAAAACACGGCTCCAACCGCGTGCAAGGACCACAAGCGAAACACGTGGCTGCCGTCGTGGTGACCGTATAGAACGCGCGGAGGCGGAGGAGCAGAGCGGAGTTGGAGGGGATAGAACATTTGATAGTGTCCGCTATCGCTGCTGCTAATTGGACCCCCCCCCCCCTCTTTAATTAGCGACCTTCGCTCTTTTTTCTCCGCGCGCCAAAATTTTCGCTGCAAAATCGTTCACCTCGAAATCCGCGGCGAATGAATCACTCCCACCACAGCCCGCCAGTGACGTCACTTATTTCCAGAATTTATACAACAAAAATGACGTCACGCGATAAAAACCCGACAACACTATATGACGTCGACGAACGTTGGCACGAACAGGGGGTTTAATGTCCGCCATGCTGGTGGGCAGAGTTGAAGGCGTGGGGGGAGGGAAATCAATGTTGGCCTGATTCGACAAGCGGAATGATTATACCGTTTCATTATTGAATAGCATAATTAATGCAACTGCATAACACCGCAGGTTCGCAATCCGCAAACGCCAAGGCGCATATGTAATTAAGGTGTTTTCAGCCACTGAGTACGTGTGGGAGGAAATCGGAGAATGCCCAAACGTGCGAGGGAGCAACACTCAATGCCACACTGGTGGGACAGATGAAGATTGGTCCACACTTTGCTGTACCACCCTCTCCTGGGTATCTCGGGGTTATATGCCTCTTCGTCGCCCACGGGAAGGGAGTTTGCGCTCAGGCTGAACGATTTGGGGAAAATATCTGCGATTTTTCTGACATTGCGATTTGATTTGTGATTTTATTTTAAAAGTCAAGCTTAAGTTACATATTCACTATGTAATAGATTTAAAACGTGTGATAGAGCATTACCACATGATACCATCAAAATATGAACTGCTCTATATATTCTAATGCAAGGATGATAACTTAAAATAAATGAATTGCTTCCAACGTTTTTTATTTAATTGAAATAGAACAATCAAACATAGAACTATTGTAAAGTTAAATCAAGCTATAAGAATAAAAAAATAAAACAATTCCAATAAGAAAGTAATAGGACTTTTCAAATCGCAAAAAATCTCAGCCTTTGCGATTTGCTAATCGCATCCTTTCAAACAGCGATTTAGATTTGAAATCGATACATCTTTCAGGCCGAGTTTGCACAACATTTATGTGAGCCACCAACACTTACTGCCTCCACAGTGCTGGATTGCAGGCACGCGCCACCACCTGTTTTGGCTCAAAGCCGGTGGTATAAATTCCACGTTGCTGTGGCAGGGACCAGTCTATCCGATGAACATCTATTTTCGACCCCTCCACTGGCGGTGCTCATGACCCCAGATGGGTGATGGGGTCAAGTTGACCCTGGCTACTGCGGCGTTGGGGCAGAGGGAGCAGTTTAACACGTAGATTTTCGCGACCAATAGTATCCACTAGCCTATACAGTAAATCTGAAACATTCAAGCGAAAAGCAGACCGCAACGTCATATTCATTGCATGCATTCGTGTGCAATTTCTAAGGCCGCGGTGACAGACACTTCATTTAAAGATTATAATCCCTTGTTCATCATGACGTCCTTTTGACTTTGATGTCTCAATAGCGTGACGGAGATCGCGTGACGTGAGGGTTCTGCCTTTGTAGTGAGGGTTGTAAGTTGACGCTGATGAGGGTGGAGGCGCCCCCCCATGTGGAGTGACGTCACCCGCGCATGATTATTAATGAGAGGGGGGTCCATTTGGAGGACGTCACCTGGCCATGATTATTAATGAGGGGGGGGAGTGATCCATGTTGAGTCGACGTCACCAGCTCATGATTATTAATGAGGGGGGGGGGGGGAGTGATCCATGTGGAGTGACGTCACCCACGCATGATTATTAATGATGGGGGGGGTCCATTTGGAGGACGTCACCTGGTCACGATTAATGAGGGGGGCTGTTCGATGTGGTGCCGTCACCTGTGCATGATTATTAATGAGGGGGGGGGGGGGTGGAAGTGATCCATGTGGAGTGACGTCACCAGCTCATGATTATTAATGAGGGGGTGAGATCCATGTGGAGTGACGTCATCAGCTCATGATTATTAATGAGGGGGGGGAGTGATCCATGTGGAGCGACGTCACCCGCGCATGATTATTAATGATGGGGGGGGGTCCATTTGGAGGACGTCACCTGGTCACGATTAATGAGGGGGGCTGTTCGATGTGGTGCCGTCACCTGTGCATGATTATTAATGAGGGGGGCTGTTCGATGTGGTGCCGTCACCTGTGCATGATTATTAATGAGGGGGGCTGTTCGATGTGGTGCCGTCACCTGTGCATGATTATTAATGAGGGGGGGGTGGAAGTGATCCATGTGGAGTGACGTCACCAGCTCATGATTATTAATGAGGTGAGATCCATGTGGAGTGACGTCATCAGCTCATGATTATTAATGAGGGGGGGGGAGTGATCCATGTGGAGTGACGTCACCCGCGCATGATTATTAATGATGGGGGGGGTCCATTTGGAGGACGTCACCTGGTCACGATTAATGAGGGGGGCTGTTCGATGTGGTGCCGTCACCTGTGCATGATTATTAATGAGGGGGGCTGTTCGATGTGGTGCCGTCACCTGTGCATGATTATTAATGAGGGGGGGGTGGAAGTGATCCATGTGGAGTGACGTCACCAGTTCATGATTATTAATGAGGGGGTGAGATCCATGTGGAGTGACGTCATCAGCTCATGATTATTAGAGGGGGGGAGTGATCAATGTGGAGTGACGTCACCCGCGCATGATTATTAATGATGGGGGGGGTCCATTTGGAGGACGTCACCTGGTCACGATTAATGAGGGGGGCTGTTCGATGTGGTGCCGTCACCTGTGCATGATTATTAATGAGGGGGGCTGTTCGATGTGGTGCCGTCACCTGTGCATGATTATTAATGAGGGGGGGGTGGAAGTGATCCATGTGGAGTGACGTCACCAGTTCATGATTATTAATGAGGGGGTGAGATCCATGTGGAGTGACGTCATCAGCTCATGATAATTAATGAGGGGGGAGTGATCATGTGGAGTGACGTCACAGGCTCATGATTATTAATGAGGGTGTGCTCCATGCGGAGTTACGTCACCCGCACATGTAACACGATTTTTGTTCCTGGGTAGTGTTATTTTCTAATTGCTTATTCCTCAAAAGTATAGAAAATGGCTATTATTCGCCACAAACTTTGCTTTTGTGATCAGGACTGTAGTGAAGGAATTACACAAATGCACACGACGTTTTCTCATTGAAAATAGGTAAATTTTTAAATATCACTGTCCTGGTCACAAATGCAAAGTTTGTGTGGAATACTATCAATTTTCTGTACTTTTGAGGCATAAGCAATTAGGAAATAACACTTACTACCCACAAGGCTACTTGGCCACATATTACAATTTATGCCACTGCCATTGCCTCAAACATGAGCATCACCAGCAGAACGACACAACCACCTACTGACACTCAGTGCCACCAATAAGCACCACAACCACGTTCATGCGGTTATCGGTAATGCAACAAAAACAACAACAAAAATCCCGATTTAAACGTTACATTGGAAAGGCCCCAACGCAGAAGAATCCCTGTGTTTGATCTTCCACGAAGCTCACGGTCCACCCTAAACCACATCCACTGCACAAACCGTGGCCAGTCGACGCCGCATACCTGACGCACAAATGGAACATTAAACAACTCTCCAGTAGTGTGCGACTGTGAGCCATCCAGAACAGACCGTGCAACTTTTAATAACGACGCAAAATGCCCCGATCCACAAACCCCGAAGGAGACATCGCGGAGATCCACTCCGCTACTGCTCCTGACGCTGTTGTTCTGCCTTGACCACCCTGAATGTGAGATTCTAGTCGTTGTTCTTGCATGTTACATCGGCAGCCACAACGAAGTAATAGAAAAAATAAGAATTGGCAGCACGTGCTCCGCGATCCGCGTTTCCGCACTCGACTCATCAGCCTAGCAAGAGGGGTTGGGGGTTGGGGTGGGGGGTAGGGGGGTAGGTGGTGGGGGGTTGGGGGTGGGGGGTAGGGGGGTGGGGGGTAAGTGGGGGGTAGGGGGTGGGTCAAATGGAGCCAGGCGTGGCTAGCAGATCCCGAGTGGCCGAGCGCGCACGTGGAGGAGACAGAAGCGGTTCGTCTGATGGAGGAGTTCGCCTTCTCCGAGTCGCTGTTCGCGGCGGAGAGGCCACGCAGGAGGAACGGGCCCGACGTTTCGGGCTACAGCGCCAAGCTGTGCGAGGCCCAGGTGAGGGCGAGCTGACGGGGCCAGACGCAACGCAAAGGTCTGACGCTCGCAGCGGCCGGCCTACCGGCCGGCCTTGTCTCGTAGCTAGAGGGGACCGTGTCCAGTGGAACAGCAGCACAGAGGACACCGGGACCCTGCTTGCTCCCTCTGCTGCCCATGACCGCACGCGTTGTCCGTCCGCTGCAGTGGTTCGAGTCGCGGGACGTGGACGCGCGGTGTCGCGATGACTCGGAGCGCCTCACCCTGCACAAGTTCCGCGGCGACGCGGCCTACCGGGCTCGGGACTACGCGGTGGGTTGCCGCTGCTGCTGCCGTCTCTGCTCCTGATTCCCCTTTCCCTCCGCGAGCCATGGCTCTTCCCCTGTCCCCGCTGCTTCTACCCATCCTTCCCTCCTGTTCTCCCAGTCCCATCTGTTTCTGCTGCTTCACTGTTCACCCTTTCCACCCCTGCTCCTCCGGGCCCTCTCTTCTTTCAACTGCCCCCATACCACCACCACCCCCAATTCCTGCGCCCAGTGTTCGTGCTTATTCCATCCTCGTCTCGCCACTCCCGCTCCCCGTGTTCCAATCGCTGCCCATGGTTAATTAACTTTCAGCCTCTTGACGCAATGAGCGTCTCTGTTTGAGGTATTGTCAGGTTTGCCGAGTGGATGGCGGTGGCGATTGTGTGGATGATGATGGTGTTAGAGGTGGTGCGCCAAAATGTGGCTACGTGGTGGTGGTGGTATATGTCGTCCCAGTTAACATGCAAGGGTTGAGCCAACGTCAATAGTATGTGGTGGTGGTATGTGATGGTAGTAGTATGTGGTGGTGGTGGTGTGTGGTGGTAATAGTATGTGGTGGTGTGTGGTGGTAATAGTATGTGGTGGTAGTAGTATGTGGTGGTGGTGTGTGGTGGTAATAGTATGTGGTGGTGGTGTGTGGTGGTAAT